TGTAGTAAAAATTACCCTTTCACACGCTCCCAGGTAAATACTTTTATATATTCTCACCCAACAAACATTAGTACCAGGTCAGAGGTTATATTCAATACTCACTATGATTTACTTTCAGTATGAAAATTTCTGTTTGAGATTTCATTAAGTATGCTCAGTTCCATTCTTAGTGACCTGCAGTCCACTTCCCCAAACTTCCACCCTTGTTGGATGTTTCAGAAGAAGGGCCAAAGACTGAATGAATGAGCCACCCTCTCACCCCAGAGGTGGCCCCCCCAGGTCAAGGTCCAGGCACATTGGCAGGGAGCAGTGTGGGGAAAAGTTGAAATGCTGTTGTCCATGTTCTACCTGTTCTGTGAAAAAATGGAGGACTTCAGTCTCTTGGCCTTCTAAGACCACAAAGAAATTTACCTTACAATATCCCCAAACTAAAGTAGCCTGGATCCAATTTTGTAATGTGAAAATAGTGACAAAACTTCACACACAGCAGGCTGGGTCTTCAGATACAAAGATCATTTTACCTGGCCTTTTCCTTTTCATAAGACTTGATGTGATTATACCAACGTAAGGCGTGACACAAGTCGGCAGGTGGGGGACCGGAGACTGCTTCAAACACTGCCACATCTGCTTGTGATGGCACATACCTAACGAAGACACAAAAATTACATACGCTTTTAAAAAACATCAGCATATAAATGACAAACGGCGTTATCTGTTACATTCATTAGCGGGAACTAGCTCCGGTAGGGTTACCTAAGCTGCTTTAGGTTTTTGTTGTTGTTTGTATAAGCTCCTTAAAATCAGAGACCATCTGTTTGGGTCGCTGCACTATCCTGAGTAATGCCGGCCACTTAGCAGATCCAAAGATCGTAACCTCTAACGTAGCTCTGCCTTTAGGGTAACTCCCCTCGAAGGCCCCTTCACCGGGGCCAGACTCGGAGGGCACCGGTCCCCTGGGGACGGGAAAGCGGCGCTTTCCACCTGCCCCTTTGGAGGCCGCGCCACGTGGCCCCGGCCCAGGCCGCTCTCTCGCCGCCCTGTCCGCTCACCCCTCAATGTAGCTCTTGTCCGCCAGGTAATCGTTGAGCACCTGGAGGCCGGCGGGGCTTTTCAGGTCTCCGAAACCCATAATGCTGGCTATACCGAGAGCCGGACAGCAGCGGAATGAAAGAGTGCAAAGAGTTAGCGCCCGGCGCTAAGAGAGAAAAAGGGCGCAACCAGGCTGGAAAACTCCTTATATAGAGACGGAGGCGTTCCCCTCCACCACGCCGGCCGAGGGTTAAAGGTCAAAGCACGTTCGCATTGTCCCCCCACGTAAAAATTAGAAGCTCTGAATTAAACGGCCCAGAAGTTGTTCCGGACTTTTCGTTCTGTTTCTAAGTAAATTAACAGAAGGGGCATTTCCTAAGTTCGTATTTCCACCGCTCCCGAAGATGACGGGAATCGCCCCTTAGAAAGCCGGAGACGACCGAAGACGTTCGGCCTCAGGGCTCCGGCCACTTCCGGCGGAACTGCGGATTCAAGTTGCCCTCCCCGCCTCCTCCCTGCGCTCCGCCGCCCGCCCCGCCTTCTGTCAGGCTGACGGAAATTGCCGAATTCAGCCTAATCGGAAAATTGTCGATCTGAGGTTCTAGTCCCTTCTGGCTTTCCGTTCTTCAGGCCCGGCTGACGAAGCTGAGGCCGCCATATTGAATGAACGACCCGGCTTCAGAGGGGGTTGTTGTGGTCCGGAAGGTTTAGCCCCCGAACCCGAGCGGCTCCAGCGACAAGGTGAGGTAGAGTTTGGATGTGAAGGCTGGGGTCTTCGGACACCGGTTTATTTCTTGACAAGACTATTTCCTTTGGCCTAGGCAGCTCATTCTCCTCTCGTCCTTGACTGGGCGCCACCCCCCCGCTCCGCCGCCTCGGAATCCCCTGAACCGGCAGGTGAGGGCTGTTAGCAATGATCCCAGGTCTGACCAAACAAAGTGCAGGAAGAGGACCAGGAGGTCCGGCAAAGCTGGTCCGAATGCAGGCTTGCATTTTCTTCCCTTTGCAAGAAAATGCAAGACGTTTCCCTCTCGGGAAGAGGCAGGTTTATAGGTGACCTAGGCCTAAAGACTGAGCATCCTCCCCCGACCCCCCCGATTTTCACATACCTGGTACCGTACATCATTGTTTGGTCGCCAATTGCTTTAGCAATCGTTCATTCCTCCGATCTTTTTACATTTTCTTTTGACCACTGACCGCTTTGGGTAGCACTTTTTATTCCTTTCACTAATGGGGATGAGAAAAAGGGACTTTTAAAAAGTTAGTTCAGGGCGGCGCTGCGAATCTGAAAGCGTTATTTACAAGTTCTTAGGATCTGATACAGAATTGTGGATCAGATGCAATTCTGTTTACACACGAATAGAGAATATAGTAAATGAAAAGTGAATTGTTTTTGATGAATGAACATTCAGTTCTTTCTGTTTTGCCAGTGTTCTTACTTTCACGGAGTTGTGCGTCTTTAAAGTGGTCTCTATAAATTAGACCAAAAATTGGAGATTCAGTTCACTTAACAAATAGTTATTGAAGGAGTCAGAAGTGAGTCCAGAAAGAAGAATAATATGGGTAATATGACTGGGAAGTCTGGAAACTTTCGATAGGTTGGTCAAAGAAAGTCTCTTTGAGAAAAGGCAGTTAGCCAACATTTGAAGGATGAAGGATGAAGAGGGACCAGAAGGATCTGTGGGAAAGCATTTGGAACTGAGGCGATAGACCAGTGTGGAAGCCCAGTAACCTGTTAAAAAGCTATTGAAATAGTCCAGGCAACAGGTGGTGGTGTCTTGGGATCAGGGGTACCATGGAGGGGAAACAAGCAGGTGGATGCAGGATGCATGGTGGAAGAGATGCAGTTGTATATATGGAGAAGTGTCCAATCTTGTTTTAGAAGTGATTGTTAATTGGCATTATCTAATAGAGATAATCATTTCCATTCCTATTTGAATTCCTATAAATCTCTTGAAAGCATGTGCAAAAATCATGCCAATCTGTATTCCTTATTTTGGGGCAATACAGTGTTCGTTTGATGCTAGATGGAACATACAGATTGACGTACAGTTAATTCTGACTGATCTCCTATCTAAAGTAGTCTGGAAACTTTCTAAAGTGGATACTACTTTTATTTATATTGTATTGAAGACAAAAATAATTGTATTAAGGCTTTAAAGTTGTGTGAAATACTGATTGTTGACTTTAAATCTGTTAGTGCTTCAAGTCAGCAAATTCAGGTTTACTTTTATGTTTGCCATCAACAGTTTTTAATAGGACAGATGCTGCTCATTCTGGAACTTGGCAATCAAACTTTTCAGTGATTATTTTCAAAGGTACTGTACTAGGTTTTCAAAAAAGGGAACTGACCAAATTCTTTGTCCTCAAGGAGCTTATAGCCTAGTAAGTACTAAAATTGATTACTAACCCACAGTTTAGTAAATGGAACCATGAAACTACTTGTATGTCCAACGTGTGCTGGTAGTAAAGAAAAGGAGTACAAATGAAGAACTCTTTAAAATTGATGGTCAGTGGCCAGTAGTGCCTAAATTGAATTCAGCTTTATCTGTCATTTGTGAAGCTCCTACTAACAGCACATAAGCAGGAAGTATTGTTTTCCCTCTGCTATGTAGATAAAACACCGTACGTTGATTTACTGAAAATCATTCACTAGGAGGTAATAGACTTGATGTTTGCAAATTCATTGTCACAAATTTTTAATTAATAAAATTGATGAATTAATGAAAATAGTGAATTCTAAAATAATGAAATCTATTGTACATGACCTATGATAAGTATGCAGAATTTTATGTTTTTATTACAGAATACTTAAGTACATGTACTATTTTCCATTAATACTACAACTATAGAAACTTTGGTACTGTTGAAGTTTTTTATGTTGATACATTCTAATCGTATCATTTGCTTTTGAAATACCTTTAAAATTCCAAATGATTATAGGTGCTTGGCCCATATGATTGAATGAATAGACAAAAAGTTTAGTATTTACCCTATATAAGCAAGTAAGTAAACAAAAAATGTTTGAAAAATTTAGGTAACTTTTCTTTTTGCTTTTTGTGTCCTTAAGTGGTGGTGTTTTGTAATCCTCTTTCATTTTTTTCAGTAAGTCAGCTTATCTTTTAAAACAGAATGTTTTAACTTTAGCACTATTGATACTTTTGGTAATTCTTTTATTATAGGAGGATTGTCCTGTGAATTGTAGGATGTTTAGCAGCCTGCCCTCTAACCACTAGATGCCAGTAGGTGCCCCTTTTATGTCAACCACCAGTATCTCCAGACATTGCCAAATATTCCCTTGAGAGCAAAATAGTCCCAAGTTGAGAACACTTATTTTGTAGCTCACTCTGTGCCAGCCTTGTGCATAGGTACTGAAGATAAATTGAAGAAGTTCATAAGGTAAAGAGGATAGAATAAGCATTTAAACAGATAATTGCAAATCTTTAAGATAAATATACTTCTCAGCACAGAAGATGGCACTCAAGACATCTTAAAGGGTTGGGCTGGTGAGCTATCTTGGAATACCTTAAGCATTTAGTAGATACAGTAATGGTGCTTAGAATTTACAATGATAGAAGACGTCTTGATAAGAAACAAAAACCGAAGGATAGGCTTTATTTTACATAGCCATTAATGATGTACACACTGTTAAATCTTCCAGGTTATTTTATTATATGGTGGTGTTTTACATTCAGTACTTTCCTTAGAGTTAAAACAGCAGTAAAACTGTTCTTTATGTAGAATTAGAAAGTCTGAATTTACACACTACCTACTCCTTATCTCCTTGATGTTGTAAAAGTCAGTTTAAAACTATTCTCATCTACAGAATTTGAGGGACTGTATCAGGACTCATGAGTGTTCAGGGACATAATGTATGTGAAGTATTTTAAATCTATAAAACATAACCAGAAAGTCTGTAATTAAGTATTTTTTCCCTTTTCAAAAGTTTGTAACTTTTGACGTTGTAAAAGTTAGTTTAAATATTCTCATCTACAGAATTTGAGGGACTGTATCAGGACTCATGAGTGTTCAGGGACATAATGTATGTGAAATATTTTAAATCTATAAAACATAACCAAAAAGTCTGTAATTAAGTATTTTTTCCCTATACTAATATAATTCTTCTTTGTTTTATTTTTAGCAATATGCTAAGGATACCTGTAAGAAGGGCCTTAATGGGCCTTTCTAAGTCTCCCAAAGGATGTGGTGAGCTTTTTTCTTTTTAATTTGTGTTTGTATTAGGATTTATCTTTGTGAATTCATAGGTTGGTCTGTGGAATATTCCTTCAAAACCTCTAAACCCAGGCGGCGCCCGTTGCTCAGTGGGTAGGGCGCTGGCGACATACACAAAGGCTGGCAGGTTCAAACCCAGCCTGGGCCAGCTAAACAACAGTAACAACTATAACAAAAAAGTAGCTGGGCCTTACGTTGGGCACCTGTAGTACCAGCTACTTGGGAGGCTAAGGCAAGATTATCACTTAAGCCCAAGAGTTTGAGTCTGCTGTGAACTGTGATGCCATGGTATTCTACTGAGGGTGACATAGTGAGAGTCTGTCTCAAAAAAAGAAGAAAAGAAAACTCTAACCTATACTTTGTTTCAAATAAATATAGAAACAAATGATCTACGTTCAATAGAATAATTTTCAATATATAACTTTATGTTAAACAGTTTAGGCTCAG